CTCTTGACTTATTCTTTCCAATGAAAATTTTGTGTCCTTTGACGAACATCTCCCCAACTCCCCCCTAAACCTCTAGTAATCACCATTTTATTCCATTTCTGCAAATCTGAAAGTCTTAATCTATTAATAGCTGAATTTTCTTTCAAATTTGTTAAGTTTAAGGCATTCTACCTAAGTTTCCAAAATAAATCTAATTACATAAAATTTTAAACTTCTTTTAATATATAATATGTTTGTAGGAATTCTAAAGAAAAGTTTGCCATTCATTTTTAAAAATTTATCTTTTTATTTATTTTTTAAAGATTTATTTATTTAACTTGAGAGGCAGAGTTATAGACAGAGGGAGGGAGAGACAGAGAGAAAGCTGCAATAGCCAGAGCTGGGCCGATCCAAAGCCAGGAGACAGGAGCCTCTTCTGGGTCTCCCACTTGGGTTTAGGGGCCCAAACACTTGGGCCATCTTCTACTGTTTTCCCAGGAAGTGGAGCAGCTAGAAGTTGAACTGGCACCCATATGGGATGTTGGCACCACAGGCAGATGCTTAACCTATTATGCCACAGTGCTGGCCTCGCCATTTATTTTTTCATGAGGCATTTATTTTATTTTTTTAAAGGTGTGTTTATTTATTTGAAAGGAAGAGTTATAGGAAGTGAGGGAAGGACAGAGACACAGAGAAAGAGAATTATCTTCCATCTGCTAGTTCATTCTCCAAATGGCCGCAACAGCCAGGGCAGGGCCAAGCTGAAGCCAGGAACCTAGAACTCTACCTAGGACTCCCATGGGTGGCAGGGACCTAAACACTTGAGCCACCTTCTGCTGCTTTCCCAGGTGCATTAGCAGGGAGCTTGACTGGAAGCACAGTAGCTAGAACTTGAACTGGTGCTCACATGGAATGGCAGCATCTTGAAGATGGTAGCTTAACTCGCTGCAACACAATGCCAGTCCCTATAAGGCATTAACTGAATGCCTAAATACCAGAGACTATGCAAGGTATAAGGATTCAAAAATAATGTAAATAGGGCTCAGGTTCATTCCCCATGGAACACACAGTCTAAAACTAAGGCAGACAAAATGGACAAGTTCTATGAAGAGATGTGATGAGATTCAGATAGTGAGGATCTGCTAATAAGGGAAAAAGAATAAGAAGCAAGGATGGTATAACTACTTCAGGTGAAGGGATCTGAACTGATCAACAAAGACAGGGAACAGAGGAAAAAGTAGATTTGGGTAGACAGCATTGGGAGGAAGTAGTGAGAGAACAGGGAATAAAATATTAAAATATCCACACGACAAGAAGAGAAATATCTAGTAATGATAATACTTTTAAAAACTTAATTATTTTCTTTGTATTTATTTGAAAGAAAGAGAGCAATTTCTTCCATCTGCTGACTTACTTTCTAAATGCCTGCAATAGCCAAGGCTGGACCAGGCTGAATCCAGGAGCCTAAAAATCAATCTGGGTGTCCCATGTGGGTGGCAGGAACCTAAGTACTTGAGTCATCACCTATTGCCTCCCAGGGTTGTGCATTATTAACAGGAAGCTGAACTGGAAGCAGAGTGGTCAGGACTAAAACACGGGCACTGAGATATGCGATGTGGGCATCCCAAGCAGTGCCTTAACCACTGCACCAAATAATTGCTCTGGCAATACTTAATATTATATTCTTTACTATATATAAAGTATTTAACATAATTTTGTTTGACAGAACAACTCAGTGAGGTAAGCATTTCACAAATAAGAAAATCAGGACTCAAAAAAAGGTATAATGACTTGTCAAAAGCCACACAGCTGGTAGGCTATGGGCTAGAACACAAGAAGAAATAGCAGACTTCTATTCAGTCTAATGGACTTTCCAAAGCCACTCCACCCATGGATAAAGTAAGGCTAGTTTCCAACTGCTACTTGACGTCAATGGGTTTTGCTACCTCCAGTTGCTCCGATTTTATGCAATCATTGTTAAGTCCAGAATTACCAAGTTTAGACTGATACCTGGGGTAGCATCCAACTCCCAGAAAGAAAAAACCAATCTAGAAGTAGTAAGAATCACGTAGTTAGAAAATAGTGTCAGACGCATAAGAGCTTAAAGGTCCTATGCTTCATTTGATGGAAAAACTTCACTGTGGTAGTTTCTTTAAGTAGCAGTTATAAAAGAACTACATTTTAAAAGAGTTTCATGATGTAACTGATTTGGGAAATCCTAGAAAACAATTAGATTGCTTTATTGCAGAATTTTGCAAAGGTTTTAATATTGTATACTGAAAATATCTAAGAGTATATTTAAAGATGCAATGTTCCCCAAAATATATTTGACCACTGAATATCCACTCCTTCAACTTTGTTCATAAATGTCATGGGACTAGCATCTCACAGAATATACTTTTAAAAACTGCTGAATGGCCGGCGCCGCGGCTCACTAGGCTAATCCTCCGCCTAGCGGCGCCGGCACACCGGGTTCTAGTCCCGGTCGGGGCGCCGGATTCTGTCCCGGTTGTCCCTCTTCCAAGCCAGCCCTCTGCTGTGGCCAGGGAGTGCAGTGGAGGATGGCCCAGGTGCTTGGGCCCTGCACCCCATGGGAGACCAGGAAAAGCACCTGGCTCCTGGCTCCTGCCATCGGATCAGCGCGGTGCGCCGGCCGCAGCGCGCCGACCGCGGCGGCCATTGGAGGGTGAACCAACGGCAAAGGAAGACCTTTCTCTCTGTCTCTCTCTCTCACTGTCCACTCTGCCTGTCAAAAAAATAAAAAAAAAAAAATAAAAAAAAAAAATAAAAAACTGCTGAATGAAAATACATAAACAACTTATTAGCAAAGGAAATGTAAATCCAAATAGTATGTTGAGGCTGAGGGAATGCAGAATAAAAAGGAGTGATCAGAGTCTACGGATTAATCAGGCAGTTTCCTGCCTCATATATTACTAATTCTACAATGTAACTTAAGCAATAATAGCAATCAGAGACATTCATACTTATGTCAGTAATAATCTTTTAAACTACTGACTGATGTACTTACAAGTTACAGTTTTAGAAATCTTAATTACCTGTATTTTGAGAAATTAATACCCATAGTTACTTTCTCATATTATTGAGGTGACTGGGTTTTATAGCTTTTTTCAACCTTTATCCAAAGTTTCTTGCTCTTCATTATAAATTGATAATTGCTTTGAGGGTTCACATGGCCTTTGAATCCTTCAGAATTACATTATACACTCAGGTAAAAATCCCCTTAGAGAAATCACTACAAAGAAAAATTCTGTATAATAAAACTGTTTTTACACCCCCATTATGACTATGGCTAGTCAAATGAAATCTTTATAAAGACTTTATATGCCAAACACTTCCACTTGATTATTCTCTTAAAATAATCATTACATATTAACAAAGACCTTATACTGCGTACTGTTTGCAGTGAACAGATTGCTAAGTCCAGTGTAATTCTGCCTAGTGATTAAATATTACCCTTTAACTCCTTTAGTCCTTTCCCAGGTCAAACGTCCTACTGAAGAAATTTAACTGGCTGGTGCCACAGCTTACTAGGCTAATCTTCTGCCTGTGGCGCCGGCACACCGGGTTCTAGTCCCAGTTGGGGCGCAGGATTCTGTCCCGGTTGCACCTCTTCTAGTCCAGCTCTCTGCTGCGGTCTGGGAGCGCAGTGGAGGATGGCCCAAGTCCTTGGGCCCTGCACCCACGTGGGAGACCAGGAGGAAGCACCTGGCTCCTGGCTTCGGATTAGCGCAGCGCGCTGGCCATAGTGGCCACTTGGGGGGTGAACCAATGGAAAAAGGAAGACCTTTCTGTCTCTCTCACTGTCTAACTCTGCCTATCAAAAAAAAAAAAAAAAAAAAAAAAAAAAAGAGACCTCATTTCAACATCTGCTCCTAAAATTATAAGTATGATTTCTTATAATACATTCTGTATAACAGAATCCTGATATTAGCCACAATTTTTCTTTGAGGAAACATTCACATAAAAGTTACAAAAATAATAACAGTATTAATACATGTTTTACAGGGTTAGTTCATTAAGAATAAAAAGAATAACACAACTACACCACTTGAATTATAATTTATCCAAATTAAGGCTTCCCTTTTCCTTAATTTCAGTGTATAATAGGAAAAGAAAAAAGGCAAAATGTTTTCCTTTTGGTCACTGCTTCTTAATATTTTGAATTGTGATCAATTCCAAATTGATCACATGGGATCAATGGGACTTTTTCTTTACAAAAAAAAAAAAGAGATTTATTTATTTATTTATTTGAAAGGCAAGGTTACAGAGAGAGAGGGCTAGACAAAGAGAGATAATCTTCCATGCTCGTTCACTCCCCAATGGCAGCAATGACCAGGGCTGGGGCCAGGCCAAAGGCAGGAGCTTCACTGGTGTCTTCAACATGGGTGCAGGGGACCAAATACTTGGATCATCTTTCACTGCTTTCCCAGGCACAGGCTGGACTGGAAATGGAGCAACCAGGACACAGACTGGTGCCTACATGGGATGTTGGCATTGCAGGCTGCAGCTTAACCCACTATAAACAAAACACGAGCTCAAAATGGGGACTTTTACCTGGATTATACAAATTCACTCTAAAAGATAAGCAGTTTCACAGAGACAGTTGCAAGCTTGAGCTATGAAACCAGGTGAATCACCCTTCCCCACTGTCTTCAGCCTTATCTTCACACCAGGTCCCTTATTTGAGTCCCTGAATCTACTGAGGTCCCCAGGGAAGAACTGGATGCATAAATCCAAGGTTGCTTCTAATTATCCACCATGTGAACAAGAACTAAGGGCATAAGATAAAACTGCTGACAAGTGCTTTGAAATTTACTAATAAAATCAGAGAAAAAAAATGTCATTCTTACATACTTATTTCCATTTGCTTCTTAACTGGAAAAAGAAAATGGCTACACAATAATGTGCACACAAGCTCACATAATAATTTACAAACACAGTGGTAAAAAGACATCAACACATTTAAATATTTTGTAAACAGCAAGGAAGAGTTTTCTTACCTTCAAAAGTTCAAAGTAATGAAGACAGTGGTAAACAGGGGCTAGAAGTAGCCTCGGTAAAACATATTGAACAGCTTCTTTAAAACCTTCGCCTATTGACTAGAAAAGAAAGTGATTGGATTTTTTTTTAAAGTTTACTTTTCAGACATATGTACATCTTGATTTTAAAATTACTATACCTGCAAGTAAAGTGCTGCCCCAGGCTTTGATAATTGACTAAGGAAACGATCATGAAAACCAGGTCGTAAAATATCTCGGGCATACGATTCATATGGATCAAATGCCAATTCCTTAGAAAAACAAACAAAGTAGAACATACATAATCTCTTTCCAAAGTAAAACATATGATAGCAAGATTAAATTATGAGCATTTCTATGCCAGCACAATTATATATTTCTTTAATATGTCCCTAAACAAAAATTATATGGATATTAACTATAATTTTAATACAATACATCTAGCTATTCTTAAGAGAGTAAATCACTTCATTTTGGTGAGAAATAGAATCTTTATACATTTGACACCTCTCATTAAAGGATTCTAGTAGGGTATGACCAACAGACATGGCCATAAGGGGGCAGAATTTTGGTTCTAGAAAACAAATGAAGCTTCACTTGAACAATAAAGAATATAGATATTCACAACCAGGTAAAGTGTGAACATTAGGAATACTGGTATCACACATTTGTCTTTTTTCTTCTTCATAGCAGACTTTTAAACTCATATAAAACAGATATAACAATTTATACCATCTAGTATTTATTACAGATTTCACAAAACAATCATGTTGCCAAAAAATGTTGTCATTATTAGTATCCTATTAGTAATATATTCTAAAAAGCTGAGTATCAGTGATTCTTGATGAAGAACAGAGTAGAGATCTTGATTTCAGCAGAAGGCATAGGGCCTCTCTTCTCTCCTCTGCTGCATTTCAAGTATAAAACTGCTGAGAAGATAGTGGTCTAGATTCTGACAAGTGCTCATTACCATAAAGGTAATTCCAGTAGGAGGAAGAGGACATCTAGTGGCAGAGTGTTGTAGAAAGCGGTACGAAAGAATCTAGAACAAACCACGTTTATCATTAATTACTCTTAATGTTGTATTTAGATGCTCCTTAAGGAAAGACTGAATAGTAACAACAGCAGATAAGAAATCGAGAGATCTAAATTCTGGCTGTTAGGAAATGCAACATAGCAAATAAAGTTTAAAGTAGTCCTGGATTCCTTCAGCAGGATCCTGGTTCATTTCCCAATTTTTACTCCTTCAACTGCCAACTAAAAATTTCTATAATTTAAACACCAGAAATTGCAGTCCATTGTACATATTATAGAAATGGAGAGTAAGGTCTCAACAATAACGACAACAAGGAGACGGGGATGAATAGAGTGGATGGGGAAGAAGAGTAAAACTTTGATGGGATACTTTTATCTTGGGCCTGCAAATTATCATTATCATAGGAAGTAACCAAGTTTGCCTTTCTCTTTCAATAAGCCCCAATTTATTACACAGTTGTATGACACAGATAAAATAAAGGCTTTACACAGTGCTGTGGTGTAAAGGCAGGGGCTTCTGGGGACTCAGGTTTCAATTCTGACTTCACTACTTATTAGCTGTGTGACCTTCAACAAACTGCTTACTCTAAATGCAGATATTTTCTACTTTACAGGGTTGTTTTAGGAATTCAGAGATGTCATACATGTTTATTACAGTGTCTCGTACAAGGTAATACTGAATATATGGTAGCTGGTATTACCATTCCAAAATAGCTACTCTCAAGAGAGTGAAATTGACAATTAACTAGTAATACAAACTCTCATCATTTAGTTCTGTTCTTGAAGACGAATTTGTAAAATGGGAAGCACTCCTAAGAATCCAAGGTATGAGTTAGTGATTTTATGATCGGTTCAGTGGTAAGATGTAACACAAGAGCCACTGACAAAATTTAATTACCAACACATACAATTGGCAGTAACCTATAGGGAACAGCTTAACCTAATCTACCTATATCCACCTTCTAGCTCAAAAAAGCTCCATGTTTTACAATACTTGCCTCAGCTTTTTTTAAAAACAGAAACAAAACAATATGGATATAATTGGTTTTTGTAGGTTCCCTTTCACAAGTCCCTCCTACAAATCCCCAGTAGTCACTATCTCGAATCTGAACTTTATCATTTCCACATTTTTATATCATGATTATATAGGTCGTAGATTATATAGAAATAAAGCAGTGCATTGTTTTGCATGCTTTCCAACATGTAAAGATCAGAATATGTTTATTCTTCTGTAAGTTACTTCTTATACTAAAAGTTTCTTTCAAAATTTACCACTGTTTGAGTCATGTAGTTCCTTTGTTTACTTTAAAACTTCATATAATATCCTACTCTACCAATATATCAATTTTATTTAATCCAGTCTTATTGATGGGCAGTCAAGACTGTTTCCTGTTTTTCACATGTATAAATAATCCTGTAATTAATACTTGGTATACATCTTTGTGTGTGCATATGAATATTTTTAAAGCATATAAACTACAAGGGGAAGCTGCTTACATGGTTTTATTAAAATGTTCACCAGCAATGACTTTATCCAAGTGGTCCCTTCATTTGGCAAAATCAGACTTAACAATTTCGTGAGATTTTTATAAGTCTTGTTATTATATGCATCTCCCTGATTATTTTAGGTTGAAAATCTACTCTTCTGATTGTTGGCCATTTAGACCTATCTTCTGAGAAATGCAAGTTAATAGTCTTTGACTATTTCTGTTAGCTTTTCTTCATTCTCTGTTCATTTGTAATACAGAGAAAGATCTTCCATCTCTTGGTTCATTCTTCAAATTCTACAATAGCCAGGGCTAAACAAGGCCAAAGCCAGGAGCCAGGAATTCAATCTGGGTTTCCCACATGGGTGGCAGGGGCACAAGTACTTGAAGATTCACCAATGCCTCCTTACCAAGGTACACATTAGCAGAAAGCTAGAATAGGAAGTAGAGAAGGGAAACCCACATGTTACAAAATTGGATAGGGCACCCTAAGCAGTGTTTTATCATTGTGCCAAACAGAACCATTACTTTCTTTAAAAAAAAAAGTTTTGTATTGGAGCTGGTGCTATGGCATAGAGGGTAAAGCCACCACCTGCAGTGCCAGCATCCCATATGGGCACCAGTTCGAGTCCCAGCTGCTCTACTTCTGATCCAGCTCTCTGCTATGGCCTGGGAAAGCACAAGAAGATGGCTCAAGTCCTTGGGCCCCTGCACCAATGTGGGAAATCCAAAGAAGCTCCCGGCCCTTGCTTCGGACTGGCCCAGCCCCAGCTGTTGCACCTGTTTGGGGAATAAACCGGTGGATGAAAGACTTTCTCTAACTCTGCCCTTTGAATAAATAAATCTTTTTTTTTAAATGTTATGCATTTATTTTTATTTATTCATAAGGCAGAAAGCGAGACAGACAGATAAAAACCTCCCATCAGCCCATCAGCTTCACTTCCCCAAATGTCTGCAATACCTGGGACAGGGCCCGATCCAAGCCAGGAGCCTAGAACTCAATCTGGGTTTCCCACATGTGTGCAGGGACTCAACCTGCTTGAGTCAGCAGCTGCTGCTCTCCCTAGATGCACATTGGCAATAAGCTGAAATCAGAATTGCAGCTGGAACATGAACTCAGCCACTCCGACATGAGATGCAGCTGATCCAAGTGCTGTCATAACTGCTGTTCCAAACACTGGCTTCTACTTTATTTCCAAAAAAAAAAAAAAAAAAAAAAAAAGGCTTTTGAAACAGGCAGACATTAACATGCACCCTGGGAGCCTGCAACCCATACTGGAATGCTTGGGTTCAGCTTCTGATTCTAGCTTCCTGATAATGCAAACCCTGAGAGTCAGGAGATTATGTTGCAAGTATTTGAGTCCTGGCCACCCATGTAGGAGATGTGATTGGAGTTCCTGATTCCTGGCTTCAACCTCGCCCAGTCTTGGCTATTCAGGACATTTGGGAAATGAATCAGCGGATGGAAGACCTCTTGTCTTGTCTTTTTGTCTGTGTCTCTCAAATAAATAAAACAAATAAAAGCCTTAAAAAATAAAACTACTCTTAAAGTTTGGTTGATATATAATTCATATCATACTATTCATTCTCAGAATTGCGCAACCATCTTCACAATAATTTTAAAACATTTTCATTGGGGTAGGCTACTGGGGAGACCCACATCCCATAGAAGAGTGCCTGGTTCAAATCTCAGCTCTTCCACTTCTGATCCAGCTTCCTGGTAATGTGCCTGGGAGGCAGCAGATGATGGTGCAAATACTTGGGTCCCTGCTACCCACAAAGGAGACCTAGATGGAGTTCCTGGCTGCTGGCTTCAGCCCGGCCCAACCCCAGCTGAGGTGGGAATTTAGGGAATGAACCAGCAGGTAGAAGATCTCTTTGTTTTCCCTCTGCACCTACCCACTCACCTTCTCTTACTCTGTTCCTCGGCCTTTTGAATAGAAACATCTTTTTGCAAAAATTTTTAAAGCAAAAAAAATTTTTAAAAAGCATTACATCATCCCCTGAAGAAACCACACATTCTTTAGCTATTACCTCCCAATCACTTCATCCCCCTCATCCGTAGGCAACCACTAATTTAGTGTCTATGCATGTCTATTTTGAATATTTTATGTGCCTACAATCACATATCATGTAGCCTTTTGTGACTGGTTTATTGCATTAGCATACTATTTCCAAGGTTCATCCAGGTTGTAGTATGTACATGTATTAGAATGTCACTCCTTAAGGCTATAAAATACTTTGATTTTACTAGGGAATGCCAAAAAGTTCACGGAAAACAGATTAGAAGATTTTTGTTTTTGTGCCAAAAAAAAAAAAAAAATCCTGAAACTATGCATACAAGGGGTCTTCAAATGTTCATGTAAAATGTGTATTATGAAAGCACTACACATGGATTCAACTTTTTTGATACTAAACTTATCTTTTAATTCCATTTTTCATGTACTTTTTGAAGTACCCTTATATCACATTTCAGCCATTCATCTCTTCATGGAAATGTTGGTTGTTTCTACCTCTTGCCTATTGTGAATTGTGATGCTGTGAGTACTGGTATATAAGTATCTGAATCTTTGCTCTAAGTTCTTTTGAGAAGATACCTAGGAGTAAAAATGTTTGATCATATGGTAATTCTATGCTTAACTTTTTAAAGAACCAACAAACTGTTTTCTATAGCAGTAACATTTCCATCAGCAACATAAGAGTGTTCCAGTCTCTCCACATCCTCATCAACACTTGGTACATTCTTTTCT